TGCTCAAGACCTGACGCAACAGGCCTCCTTTCCCTCACAGAATGTCAGCGGTCGCTGGGATAGGAAAGGCATTGGACCCACCAGCAGCATGAGCTCACTGAGTACATCTGTGCTCAGCCCTGTGCTATACACTTCCCCAACCCCATGCAGCCACCAAGCAGCTCGCAGCCCAGTCTGCATCTTGAAGCACGAAGTTTCAGTTGCCCTTCATCCAAAATGATGTCTTATGATGGGTGCAGACCAGAATTGAAAGGAAGATGTCTCGAATGTATGAGTATTTCACTTTTGAAAGTGGAGATACCTCCAAGATCAACTCATTCCTCTTGTAAATGGCTCCCTCCTTGATTCTGGAAATCTTTCTCAGATGTGTCCACTGAAGTGCCTACATCTGAACAAGCTGGTGCATCCTTTATGGCAGAGATTGTCTCTCCTTGGTGTTATGTTCATCTCAAACCACTGAATATGTCAGTACAATCAATAAACTGTATTACCAAATCTAGATATCAAAATGATGCAAAAAACATCAGCTGTAGCCATAGGTTATATAGTTACATGGAAATCACCAATAGCAGCGGGCATCTAAGGATCAGTCTTTCCAAGCTTTCCAGGGCTTCTGGATTCTTGAGATCACATTTTCCCTCTTGTTCCTGCAACCTGAATAGCTATCAATTTATTTTTCTTGTTAAAAATTAAGTATTTTAATCCCTGTACTCCAGGAGCTGGGGTTTTCTGATTAACACACAGCACACACTGTACCAAGGAGCTACCAGGACACACGCTGAAACCAGACTAGCTGGGTTCACTTCATGTTTGTCAGCTCCATTCCTCTCTCTCATGTACTGTCTCCACCAGGCTCACTGCTGAATTCATAATACTTACAGACACCAGTGAACGTACACATAAGTAAAAACACAGCCCTTCTTATTTCCCTTTGGAAAATAAAGTAATCCAACTACTTGGTTTTCCAGGAGCAATTGTGATGATCTTTCCCACATCCTCTTTAAAATCGCTGAAGCTGGTGCTTAGCCAAGCTTGCAGCAGGAAGTTTTTAGTTCAGGCTCTGCCCTCAGCTTGGCCGACTAGCAAGGTGAATTCCCCTGGTCCCGAGGGACCTCCCTGACACCAGGGCCAAGACTGTCTTGGCAGACCAGCTTGCAGCATTAGGTCTTGGCTGGAAATGTGCATCTGGCTTGACCTTAAAACAGAAATTTCCAAACGCCATACAAGAAAACTGAACAGACCCCTTAGGCAAAGGGGCACCCTGCCAGACAGGCTGAGGGCTGCTGCAATTCTTCATTGGGACAGCAGAGCAGAGAGAAAATCAGATCCCTCAAGCTTGTCTTCTCCCACTTGTCCCTTCACTGCTAAGTGGCAGGAGGTGGCACCACCCAGGCGGTGTGCCAGGGCACTGTGCAGCTGGGTAACAGGCACTCCACGTGTAGGAGACCCTCGTACACACAAGCACAAGGAAGACACTGGTTCTGGACCCTCATACACACAAGCACAAGGAAGACACCTGTTTGGGACCCTTACCATTAGTGCAGCCCTTGGTTGCTGGACTTGCTGGACATCCTGGCAGCATTGAGCTGTACCTCACCATATCCACGTGCAGCAGAGTAGCAGAATATGATGCTCTTCATGCATGCACAGGTGCCCTGGGCGTGAGAGAGAGAACTTGAGTATTTCACAGATGGAAACTGTCCAGAACTGCTAGTAGATCACACAAACATACCAGAAGCCACTGATATAAGGAGAAACTGACCGATTTGTGTCTGTGGCTTGACCTCAAAACTGCTTCATGACCATAAACATTCCTGATAACCTAGAGCTTTGGCTGACCCTGGCTGCCACCCCCAGACCTGCTCAGCTTGCCTGGCTGAGGTAGTGTGCGACTGGGCCCTGGCCAGGGAGGCCCCTGCCCTCCTGGCTGCATAACTGTGCTTGGCTCCTAATTCCTCAGGGAGCAGCTGCATTATTTACTTTCCTTTTCTACCCCCTCACCTGCAGCGTCCTAAGTGCTGAGACATCAAATTTTAGGCTGCACTGGCCTCTGGGCCTGGAGAGGGTTGTCAGAGCAAGAACCCCATAGCGTCTCTGCAAGATCCTCTTAGGGAGCTTGCTTTTAGTCTGCAGGATCCACGAGCTTCCCAGGGTGATGCTGCCCCTGTGAGCTGCACTTGGAAAAGAGCCAGGAGTGCCTGAAAGGGCAGTGCTGCCCAGTGCTGTAGCCCCTCATGAAAGCAGCCTACAGTGAGCTGGAGTAAACGTGGCTCCCCAATGGAGCCAAGGGCACCTGGGCAGAGATGCTCCTGCGCTAATCAGCTCTGCAAACTCTGCCTTGGCATGAGGTCCCTTAGTCCCAGGACCTACCCTCAGGGCAAGGGCAGGCTTGTCTGTCCAGGGTAAGGTAAGAAAGCAACACAGATCAGAGAGGCCTCACTTCTTTCCCTGTTATAACAGCACCTCCCAACTTGCTTGTTGTTCCCAAAGCTTGTATAGGCTGAGTAGCCTCCCTCTTCCTAGCCCTGCTTGCAGCAAGCCCCGGGGAAGTGACTCAGGCAGCCCAGTTGGATCTGGCAAACTGAAAAACAAACACAGGTGGCAGTGGGAGCAGAGCAAGCCCCATTTGCCAGCCCAATACACGTGTTGCTTAGGAAGGATAACAAGCAACACACGGCACTGTTCCTCTGAGCAAAGCCTCCAGCACAAGCGGGGAGCAACAAGCCAGGTCTCTCCTGGCACTGAAAGGCTGCAGTGAAGGCCAGATGTAAATGAGCATTGCACTCCCTGGTGCTCCCTCATGTCCTGTCTAGAACAAGATTGAAATTTCAATAGCCTCCCTATAGACAGCAACAGCCACAGTCATTCACTTAGATGTGCGAGGTTAAGGGACACCCTGCCAACTACTACGTTTCTATCAGAAAGCCAAAAGCAGAGTCACCACAGGACTGAAACCTCCTGAGAGCAAAATGAACCCTCCCAGTCTAGAAACGGGATCAGCTGCCAGAGCTGGGAGCACTTTCTATGTCGCAAGCAGCTGAGGGCTTAAAGGAGTCAGTGGGTAAGGCCATGGCTGGAGTCCTTCTTAGCTCTAGAAAATTAAAAATCCTGCTCTTGCTTCCTCCTGTGTAACGGAGATGAGTGCTCTGCCATTTCCCATGATGTGATAAGAAGGGAGGTTCAGGCTTCAGAGTGCTTGTAAAAATAATCCATGGAGCTTGGAAATAGTCTGAGCAGAAAGGATTAAGGTTTTCTAGACAAGCAGGAAGGACACCCAGAACTAGTAGCCCTCCTGAAGGTACTGAAACGACCGTGGTTGGGACTTGTTCACTGTGTGTATGTCCTCCGTGAATCTTTTTAATCTTTTTTTTATTCTTACAGTGCCTGTTGCTAATAGCAGTCAGTAGCTTGATGCTGCACAAGGTAGAAAAGCTCAGATCTGTGTGAGGGCCGCGCTCACCCGCCAGGGCCACTCCATGCCTCACCGCAGAAACACATGGTGTGTTAGGACGAGCTTTGCATCGCTGTGAGATGCCCACGTACAGACAGGCCTTTGGGCTGCCCCATGGGCCAGGAGAGGAGGTCATGGAGATCCTCCCAGCTCCCACCGACGGGACCCTATTTCTGCTCTGCTGCCCGCCCCTGCTCACCCGGCTGGGCAGGATGCAGCTCCGGGGAGCGGAGCGGGGAGCAGCGGAGCAGGGAGCAGCGGCGGGGACGCAGCAGCTCCTGTTTTCCCGCGAGCGCTGCCTGCAGTCGTTATGGCAACTGCA